TGGGCAGGAAGCCTGCCGGGCGGGAGCTTGTGGGACGGGAGGTTACAGGAGAGCTGGTGGGGCGGATGGTGATTGGTTCAGTGGGCCGCTGGGCGGGAAGGTTGCTGGTCTTGGGCCGGGCCAGGATAGAGTGAGATAAGGGACCCTCCCTGTGGGGGAGGAAGGGCCTTCCTTTTCGGGAATTAGGCCCTTTCCACATGGCTGGGGAACGGGGCCAAAAGTCCTCTACCAGACATTTTCCAATTAAGTTATTCCAGGGCCTTCTGGAGTTTAACAGAAGCCTTTTGCAAAGACGTTATTTGAGGTTGTAGGACAAGGGTTCAGTGGATATCTCCATTCCCAAAAGAAGTGAGCAGGTCTAAAGGCAGAGACTGACTTCCAGGTTAGGCAGCCTGTAGAGCTGGTGCTGATCCATCCTCCTCTATCATGCCCCCCATGACAGCCATAAACACATGGATGCCGAAGGCAATGCTGTTGCATGATTCCTGTTTTCGTTTATTGTTCACAAGCTGCAGATGCATGCCATGGGCACTGTTGTCTGCCATGCCCCACCCCTTGCTCTCCAGGGCTGTGGCTTTGCTAATGTATCAGTCAGGATGCTTTTTCTTCTTTTCTTCCTGTCTGGGTCTTCGTCAGTGTCTTCTGAGTAATAAGGCTACTGATGGGTGGCTCCAGAGACTCCACTTCAGTCCCACCTGGCTGGGGAGATCTCACAATCATGGCAGATGACAAAGAGGAGAAAGTTACATCTTATGTGGGTGACAGCAGACAAAAAGAGCAGGGCTGTCACATTTTAGTAGAGTGTAGAAAATGAGTGACTACTAGGGAGGTGGTTCCTAGGCAAGCAGACTTTCATTCTCTGAAATCACAGCCCAGGCTGCCATTACTCTTTGCAAATGATGCTTCTCCAATATCTTCACTTCCTTATAACACTTCCCCCAAAGCCTGGGTGGAACATATGATTACTACTAACTACCCACATTCCTTCTCAGGGGCCATTCCCCTAATTATCACTATTACAAATGATCTTCATTTGTCAGAGCTGCTTATGACAATGCCATCATAAAAGGACACCAGTTTAGAAATATTGCTGTAATTAATTAGGCAAAAAGACTAAAGCAATCCCCATCAGAGCTACTGTGGTCACAGCATAGGCTGCATGGTTGTTTGAAAAAGTTACCTCTTTAAACCAGCTCTCTGTTCTCATTTGCCATGAGGAGTGTTTCTGGCCTTACTGAACCTCTAACCTGATTCACAGCTCTGAGCATCAGTGTCCTCACTGATGTAGGACCTAATAACAGCTCCCTTACAGACCTGTGAGAGTCTAATGAGATGCATGTATGTGACAGCACTTCTAATGACGTCAAATGCCCACATCAGACATAGAACAAAGTGTCAGGATTTCCTGTCTGTGGAACCCTGTCCTGGTGATAAAGACCTACAGAGGATAGAAGAGCAGGATGCAAGCGGCTTTAATGCATTGTGCTTGAGAAGACTGGAGGTGAAGGAAGGCAAGGGCAGGGAAAAGCCTGTATCAGTGGGATTGAGGCTGACCGAAATTCAAGCCTTAGTTTTCCAAGATTTGGATCCTTCTCCATTCTTTGCTATCTAAAAGTTCAATCAGATCAGGCACAGTGGCTCACGCCTATAATCCCTACATTTTGGGAGGCCTAGGTGGGGGATCACTTGAGGTCAGGAGTTCAAGACCAGCGTGGACAACATAGTGAAACCATGTCTCTACTAAAAATACAAAAAAATTAGCCAGGTGTGGTGATGTGCTCCTGTAATCCCAGCTACTCAAGAATCGCTTGAACCCAGGAGGTGGAGGTTGCAGTGAGCCAAGATAGTGCCACTGCATTCCAGCCTGGGTGACAAAGCCAGGCTTCATCTCAAAAAAACAAATAAATAAATAAAAGTTCAGTCAGCCTCCTTCCAGTGCTCCTGGTCATCCCCCGAGCGTCCTCAGCAGACCCCTTCTTACCCTACTCAGACTCCGAGTTTAGGTCAGTGGTTGTAGTGGGGATCTGTGTGTGGATCTGAAGAGCAGAGTCTGTGTCCTTCTCCTTTTCTCAGAGCCCAGGAAATCTGCAGCAGTGGAGAAAGGAATAGCAGGGGGCGATGCAGCGCTCCAGCTGATTGGCAGCAGCGGTGGTGATGGGGAACAGCCTGATTATGTGAACCTGTTCCTGTATCACCTCATCTGGAACACTTGAGTTCACTCAGACAGTGGCTTTGAGCAAAAGCTACAAACATCAAAGACGGACTCCAATGCACAAAAGAACTGCAAGATCCTAGGTGTCCCTAGAAAGGGGCTATCTGGCGCTATCAGGAAACAACAAATATCTGGCTCCTGCCTTGAATTTCTGACAAACTTCTAGGAAGTCCCTGGATGACTAGGCTGCATTATATGGGAACTTCACTGAGGAAAACCACTTTTAACGTTGTGAACTGTGGGAACTTCATTGAGAGAAAGAATATCTAGTGAAACCCGTAGCCTGATAGCTATGAAGAATTAGGTAACCAGCATCTGAAGTTTTTCTACTCAGCCTATAACTACGACCCTTAGCTGTTTGCTGATGCTGTAGTGCTTACCACTAAAATGTCAAGTAGCCTAGCCATAGTTTCCACAATGTTCCTATACATGTCTGACTTTGAAGTACGGATCACAAGGCGTTGACTAAGTTGTTTTTCAGGAACTCAAGATTCAGTCCTGAACTCAGCTCAAACCAGACAAGACCACCAGCCTGTGTGAGCATCCAAAAGGTGACCTTTCCACACCACAGCCCAGATTTTTCACCGTATGTTTCATAACAACTACCCAGAATTGGCAAATATGACAAATAGTGGTTCATTAACACTAGCCAAAGGGGCAGTTTATGAATAAAGTAAGATACTTGTGTTGTATTTGACCGGAGCGTAGAAAGTTATCACCAAGACAAAAGTATGCCAGATTGCAGGGTCATTTATTATGCCAGCGACCACAGAGGACTCACGTCCCTCCAACCTGTGGTGCCAAAAGGAGGGTGCTATGATTTTTTATACCCAAAAAACCACCTTGGGAGTGGGGGTGAGGGGCGGGGATGGGGATGAAAAGGTTTCGGACATTTCAAGGGCTAGGGGATTCTGTGATTCACCTCCTGGGTGGAGACAAGGGCGGGGGTCTCCGGACATTCCAAGGGCTAGGGGACTTTTGTCTTTCTGTTTGTTACCTCAGTGGTTTACAGAAGTCAAGATATACATTTGTTTACACATCGTCTGGGTGGTGATAGAAGTCACAGATTTTAGCAGTTACTGATAAGAAAAGGTAAGCAGCTTTACATAGTTTTGAAGAACAAACTAGCAGTTCTATTTACAGAGGCCAAGGACAGTAGTTATTGTGAGGAGAATGGGGCAGCCACTTCAACTTATTTAAAAAACAGTTTTGCATTTTATAAAATAGTGTTGCTCAGGTTCTGGCTCTAGGCCAGCACAATATCACACTTGCATGTGTTTTCTATCAACATCCTCTAGGGTTGCTCCTAGCCACGCCATCTTGGTTGATTTTCTCACTGGGCCACTTCATTGTTGGAATGTCAGAATGTTTACATCCAGAACCTGTCTTCAAAGTGCAGCTCTCAAGTGTGATATTGTGCTGGCCTAGAGCCAGAACCTGAGCAACACTATTTTATAAAATGCAAAACTGTTTTTTAAATAAGTTGAAGTGGCTGCCCCATTCTCCTCACAATAACTACTGTCCTTGGCCTCTGTAAATAGAACAGCTAGTTTGTTCTGCAAAACTATGTAAAGCTGCTTACCTTTTCTTATCAGTAACTGCTAAAATCTGTGACTTCTATCACCACCCAGACGATGTGTAAACAAATGTATATCTTGACTTCTGTAAACCACTGAAGTAACAAACCAAATGACAAGAATCCCCTATCCCTTGAAATGTCCGAAACCTTTTCATCCCCATCCCCGCCCCTCACCCCCACTCCCCGCCCTTGTCTCCACCCAGGAGGTGAATCACAGAATCCCCTAGCCCTTGAAATGTCCGAAACCTTTTCATCCCCATCCCCGCCCCTCACCCCCACTCCCAAGGTGGTTTTTCGGGTATAAAAAATCATAGCACCCTCCTTTTGGCACCACAGGTTGGAGAGACGTGAGTCCTCTGTGGTCGCTGGCATAATAAATGACCCTGCAATCTGGCATACTTTTGTCTTGGTGATAACTTTCTACGCTCCGGTCAAATACAACACAAGCAGTCCTTAAACAACAGGGAATCATGCTGATAGACTGGAGGGAAGGCGGATAGTCCTAGAGCAGGTTCTGTGCATCCTCCCACTCTCTAGGTCTTTGGGCAACAGGCGAGAGCAGAAAAGAAACAATTCTGGGCATCTGAATTTGGATGACTTGAGAGACAATTCTTTGGGAAAATCAGTTGTTTGTCATGTCACATCCAGAGCTCTTTTCAACAAGTGTGCACTATGTATTGAAGACTTAAATTCAAGCAATGACTTAATGAATGTAGGGAGAGGTGGGAGAGAGAAGCCAATGTGTGAATAAGCAAGCTAAGAAAGAGATCTATGTGAAAATAGTTTTTAAGCAATATAGCATTATTATCTCTACTGCTGATAACATTACATAGTTGTACTACCTCAGCTATGTCAACTAGTTAATCCAGTGTTTCTCAAGTAAGTGATATTCCACTTTCTTTTTTTTTTTTTTTTTTTTTTTGAGACAAGGTCCAGGGTCTTCCTCTGTCACCCAGGCTGGAATGCAGTACAGCAGCACAATCTTGGCTCACTGGAATCTCTACCTCCTGGGCTTAAGCAATTCTCTCACCTCAGCCCCCCGAGTAGCTGGGACTACAAGTGCATGCCACCATACTCAGTTAATTTATTTTTTTGTAGAGATGAGGTTTTGCCCAGGCTTGTCTCAAGTGATCCACCCATCTCAGCCTCCCAAAGTATTGGATTACGGGAGTGAGCCACCGCACCTGGCCAGATATTCCACTTTCAATGTGGAAAAAAATTTATTATGGACTCCAAGGATACATCCATGAACTCTCCTATGAGCTAAGCCCAAAGTCCTAAGGCTTTTGGATATAAAACCAATTAGGAAGTAATCTAAACTACTGAGGGGAACAGTATTCTATTTTCAGAAATTAGCCACTACCAATGCAGCCCAGAAAGGTAAGCTAGTTGGTATTTCTGGAAACTGTTTAATGGGTATACTTCCTAGAGCTGTCTACTAGTTTCTACATTAGGAGTTCCTTGGGTAGTGGCTTCTGATTTGAGTTCTTAAGGAGATACTCCTCTTTGAGTATAAATTTCAAATCACTTGTTAATCGTATTTGTTCTTTAAACATTGTCTTTGATTTTGACTGCTTTCTCTTAATTCCTTGATATTTCATTTTGTTAACCCCTATTCAATTCTTAAATTTTTGTGTACTACTGTTTCACAAAACTGTGATAGTGACTTAGGTTTCTTTGTGCAGAGAATGAACATGTCTATGGGTGTTTTAACCTGTAATCCATGAGGTTCAAAAGGCTCCATGAGTAGAATTCATAAGATCCATGCAGTAGTGCAGTGCAGAAAATTATATCTTTTCATTCACCCATAAGGAAATTTAGCAATTCCTTTACCAATGTATGTAGAAAAAATATAGAAATCATAGACTTTTTATATCCACTTATATTTGCTGCCAATATCTCAAAATATTACTTCATATTGATGACTGCCTCAAAATTATAGGAGTAATTAGACCTAAATGTAGGTCTTAGTACTTAATGTATTAATAAACACATACAATACTATATCATACATTTTAAATGCTTGATATTTGATTTCCTTTGAAATCCCATGTATTTTATTTTGTGCATTTAATGATATTTTTCAGAGAACAAGTATTATTGTTCTCTTTTTCTCAGTTGTTATTGTTCTCAATTACTGTTTGGCTTCATCAGAATGCTGAAGGGGTGCGTGACACAGAAAAGCTGAACACCCTTCTCATAGGGGATGGCAGAGTAGCACAATGAAAGAAACCCGGATTCCTGAACAACTTGCACTGCTTAGAGAGGAACTCTCAAGTGAGAGGAAAATAAAATATTTTGCTTTTGAACTACCGAGCTGTGTTTGCAGCTCAGCCTTATCCTAACTAAACCCATTGTGATTGTCTTGATAGTAGTGTTAAATGTTTTCTTTTACTATTAATGATGTTAAAATTCAACTCTGTCTTAACTATTTTAAACAGAAATTGAATATGAATATTTCAACTTAAAAAATAAAACGATGCACTAGTTTGTTTTTGTTATGCTTTGGGTGAATTTCTAAAGTACCAGTAAAGCTGCATTCAGGCACTTGTATGCACTTGTACCCTCATAATTCTCTAACCCCCAAGGCCAGCTCTAATACTGCCTCTCTGTCTCTCTCTCTCTCTCTCTCTTTCCCTCTCATTCTCAATCTCCCTCTCTTGCCCTGGTTCTCACTCTTGCTCTCAAGAGGTCAAACAGTTTGGAGGAATTTAAGGAAAGAACATGACCACAGACCTCCTCTGTAAGTTCAATATTGACAGAATACCAAGAATGACCGTGGTAGAATGATGGAAACAACAAAGCTCACCTGATTAGGTCAGGTGTATTAAACACATGTGTATCTGATCAATTAACCACTTTCTGCTAGAGCTTGAAGAACCCAGCAAAAATGCTCAAATGTCCTTTTCAGACTCAATCAGGACACTATGTACAAGCCTTGGCTATGTTACAATTAAAAGTACAATACAAGGGAATATGACCGTTGGAGGACAGGCAAGTTTATTTCACCCAGATGCCCAAAACACTGGGAATGATAAATGCCTACTAGTGTTTGTAGGCACATTTTCTAGGCAGGTTGAAGCTTACCTGAGCAAGAGGGTGAAGCCTACCCGAGCGAGTCTGAGAAAGCTGTAGAAGTAGCTGAGCCTCTGTTAAAAGAAATCATTCCTCTATTTTTGGACTTCCTTGCTCTATACCAAGCAACGATAATCCTTCTTTTATTTCTGAGATCACACAAAGGATAAGGGAAGTATTACAGATCAAATGGAAATTATGCTCTTCTTGGAGGCCACAATCAACTGGAAAGACTGAAAACATGGTCCACATGCTAAAAAAAAAAAAAAAAANAAAAAAAATGAAAGAAAAGAAAAAAAAAAACACCCTGGCAAAACACTATTGTACAGGGTTTTACCTATTGCCCTGCTCGGATTAGGGTAACACCCTGAAGTGGGCTTAAATTGAGCCTTGTTGAAATTGTGTATGGGAGACCCTTCTGAACTTCTTGGCCAGGGACCCAACCCTTGGACTTAATAAATGAATCAAGAATTAAACAGTAGCTACAACAACTAAGACATACACCATTAACCCTGCACCAGTTTGTTCTTTTTGTTCTTTCCAGTGTTTTTTGTGTCTTACAAACAAGGCCTTCACCCTTTCCATCCAGGGATAAAGTGCTGCTAAAATCTTGGTAAAAACAAGACTGGACCAACAATAGCTAACCATGTCTCCCATAGACATGAAATAGGAGGCCGGGCGTAGTGGCTCATGCCTGTAAACCCAGCACTTTGGGAGGCCGAGGCAGGAGGATCACAAGGTCAGGAGTTCAAGATCAGCCTGGCCACCATGGTGAAAACCCATCTCTATTACAAAAATACAAAAATTAGCCAGGCGTGGTGGCACATGCCTGCAGTCCCAGCTACTCAGGAGGCTGAGGCAGGAGAATTGTTTGAAACCAGGAGGCAGAGGTTGCAGTGAGCCGAGATCACACCACTGCACCCAGCCTGGGTGACACAGTGAGACTCCATTTTAAAAAAAAAAGAAAGAAATAGGAATTGGCAGTGGAGAGTTTGTAACCAGAATAATAAGCCTGCTTCAAAAATGAATAGCCTTATTCTTTGCTTTATTCGCTATCTAGCCGTATCCTTGCTTAAGAAAGCCAGGAGCTAATCTTGAAATAAACCAGGCATGAATTTGAGATTCTGGAATCCTACATTCTCAGAAAAATCACTGGGCGGCGGGGGTGGGGGTGGGGGGTGTTAATCCATAACCTGGTTGCAGTCATGGTGATGCCAGCCAGACCTCCAGGTGATCCATTACTGAAGATGACCATCAGAATAAGACATGCAAACCTGCACCCTGCACCACTCCTGCTCATAGTTTCCATGCCTCCTTCTTCTTAAAATCCCTTTAGCTAGCCTAAAACATTTGAAACAGTCTTTGAGGTACTAGTCCTCCATCTCCTCAGGTTGCTGGCTCTTGAATAAACCTGCTTTTCCTTCCACTAACTCTTGTCTCAAAAGTCTTGCTTTTGAGCAATGAGCAGCTGACCCTTAATTTGGTTACACTATCACTTAGGAAATTTCAAGGGATTTAGGAGCTCTGTGGCAGGAACCAGGAACAAAGTTCAAATTTATTTTATATCATACCACAGGTACCAACTCCCATGACTACCTGGATGGTGACAAGGACAGAATTCTCTTCTCATCCTTCTTTTTCACTCTAAATATACCTACACAGACATGCTATTAGGAGGGAAAGCTTTCCCTCTACCAACTTTGGTTCAGCGGGTGGGAGCTTGTGAATCAACTATAGACAGGTTAATAGGAGGAAAGTAAACAAGTTGTATTCATAACCTGTGGAAGCATTCAGATGAAGAGGCTTGATGAAGAGCTAGAGATAAAAGTTTACTTATCAACTCACAGGCGAAAAGGAGGGAGAAATGGCTTGTATAGGAAAACAAATGACTTTTGAGAAAGACAAATGGAAGCTTTGGATAAAGCTTTACACAATTTTCTTGGAATATCTCCTGTCTGGGTGAAGCCGTCCTCACAGGGTTAACAAGAATCCTGAACAGAAATACAATTATAAGTAAGCATTAATCAAGCTACACTTTGACCCACTTCCTTGTAACCAAAAGTCACAAACACTAGATACTGACCATTTGCATTCCCATTGTTCCCATAGTGCAGATCTCTGACATTTGAATCATAAGGCTTTATGCAGATTCTGAATTCCAGCAGAACAGCTGACACCACTCAGTTTAAACAGCCCCACAGATTAGCGGGGCACGGTGGCTCATGCCTGTAATCCCAGCACTTTGGGAGGCCAAGACGGGCAGATCACCTGAGGTCAGGAGTTCAAGACCAGCCTGACCAACGTGGTGAAACCCCGTCTCTACAAAAAACAAAAAATTAGCTGGGCATGGTGGCACGCCTGTAGTCCCAGCTACTAGGGAGCCAGAGGCAGGAGAATCATTTGAACCTGGGAGGCGGAGTTTGCAGCCAGCCAAGATTGCGCCACTGCACTCCAGCCTGGGTGACAGAGTGAGACTCTGTCTCAAAACAAAACAAAACAAAACAAAACAAAACAAAAAAGAGCCCCACAGATTAACCGAATCAGCATGAGAATACCATTTTTTCATCTCCTTGTCCCATGACTTCACTTTGCATTCTTCAACCAATCAGTGATCTCATCACTTCCACCCACTCCAAAACCCTTAAAATCTTTGGCCTCAAACTCTTTGGGGAAATGGATTTGAGGTGTCCTTCCATCTTTTGGTTTGACAGCCCTGCAATTAAACCTCTTCCTCTGCTGCAACCTGGTCTCTTGGCATAATGACATGCTATGCACATCAGGCAAAAGACCAATTACAGTTACATGAGGACTCCTTTGGAGGGAGCTAATGGTGGAGGCATTTCTGGGAGGCTCTGCTATAGTCAGGTGACAGAAGTTCAGATAAGATTTTTTTCTGTATCTGCTGTAATTCAAATGTTTTCTGATTTGTCCTTACACATACATACACATGCACACACACACTTCCATTCTTAAGCAGCTAGCATCTTCATATATCTGTGCTCCCTAATTTCCTTCTAAACATTCAAAGGGAGAAGGAAGGGCTGTGGGAATTGTCTTTGAGATGAATCATTCTCTCTGGAGAAAATAAGACAAATCTTCTGTGTTGTGGTCATGGATATGATGGGCATTAGTCTTTGACCAGAGTTTATGAGGTTATTAAGGTACATGCATGCTTATAAACTAGAGAATTAAAAAATTGGAGAAAAGGAAATAATACCGTAGCACAGTCTTCTCAGGTACCTGCAGTTTAAGTTCTTTATTACAAGGAAAACATAAACAATCTTTCAGTCAGTAAGAGCACATGACTCTTAATGATCTAGTACATTTTTTAATACCTTGACTTACTAGTGTGATTCAAAGGTTGGGAAAATTCCCAGTATCACCCTCTTAATCTTATTAGACCCAAACATAACAGCAATGCCAAAAAATACAGAGTTCACATTTTGCTGGCATACATTTCCAAATTTTTAATGCTTCCCCCGACAGATGAATTTTAAGGATAACAAAAAGCAGACACTTACAAAACATTCCTTGTGATGAAGTAGAAAATGTAAGGTCAGCTAAGAGAAAGACAAGTAGACCCAAGGTCAGACAAGCAAGTTTATTGACCTGCGGGGCAACAATCAGAGGAGGCAGCCCCAAGCTTACAAAGCGAGAAGTTTATATGGGATGAGAGGGGCTTAAGGGAGTCTTTGGGCCGAGATAATCTATCAGCTTGTAACAAGCACGAAGATAGTTTACCAGCTTGTGACAGACTCATAAAATACATCACCTGGTGACTTTTGTGGCAGCAGTTAAAAAAAACCCAGGATTTTACAGGTATGTGTAAAACAGGAATTTACAAGTATGTGTTATAAAAGTTTGTTTCTTATGACCTCCCCCGAGCTGCCCAGATGGCTGTAAGCAGGCTTTGCTCATTGCAGCCTGTCTGGTAGCCTTGCTGCAGTGCCTAGGTAAGAGTTTAGGAATGCAGCTTGCAGAGCAACCTGGGTGGGGGGGGGCGGTCAGCTAAGGGGATTTTCTGGGACAGCTTGTCCCTAACAGAAAAAGCCCTGGATAGGTGTCCAGCTAAACTGGATTTCTGTCTCAATTATTCCATTAACTTTATAGTCTTCAGCAAAACCCTTAACTTTGAGCTTCTATATGTAATGATATCATTTTAAGTGCTGTGGTACTAAAATGTGATAATATAGACGAAAGCATTTTGAAATGTTTGAAATACTACATAAATACACACAATAACTAAATTCCAGAGGAAAGGATATAAGAGAGCTAAGCTGACCAGTATTATAAAAGGAAGCTTTTTATACTGACCAATATTATAAAAGGAAATTTATTACAGAAAAGCCCAGCCTCATCCACTATAGGTTTATGTCTCCATTTCTCTTTGATGCGATGTATTTAATAGAATGAGTTATATAGAGAAAAAGAATAAGAAATGAGCTGTGGAGACAGAGCCTGGGCCAGTTCAAATGCATTACTAACAGCGATTCAAGGAATAAGTGTAAGGCCAACCACTGGCGATAATCCCTACAGGGTGGCATCTAACTGTCAAAGTGCACAGGCACCCCTGGGTTACCCTCACAAGCAATGACAACACGTCTAGTGCTGGCCGTGGCTCGATATCTGCAGTTGGGTACCCTGGAACTTCCTGTCTCCCTGCAATCTGTGACCTTCACTACACCCTCATGGCAGTTCATCCTGCCATTCTTGCATTGGATATTGGTGGTGCTGCAGATACTACGAATGTTCCAGATATCTTCATGGATGAAGGTGTTGAAGCGCTTGCAATGATTCGAAGTCATCTTCCGTCTTTGCATCATCAAGTTGCAGTAGCCATCATTGCCACCTGTCTCCTCAGGGTGCACATGTTGCCGCAGGAATCGCTGGTACATGCGATCCTGGCCATAGGAGGGCTGGACCAGCCCCAGCCCTACCAGGGTCAGCAGCAAAAGCAGAAGCAATGAATGGGTCCTCTGCAGAGCCATCAGTACCTTAGAGGTGCCTAGAAAAGAAAGCAAAGGCAGGAGAAATAAGGTAAGAACTGGGCACTGGAAAGAGGTGTTGAGAATAGCAAGCTGACATCTTGACTTCATGGTCTCCTCTTTCCACCTTCTTGTATGGACCATCTTCCCACTCATCTCTGCTACCTTTCCCATCCCTGCTTCCCCAAGAGTTTGCAAACATCATCTCTTCTGAAAGCAAGACCTTTCTCTTTTACAAAGAGAAGTTGCTATAGGCAGTATAATGACACAGGGTAGGGAACTGACTGGGTGGCTGCCAGGCTTGTACAGTCAGAGTATAAAAAGAGAGAAAAGGTGAACCTACATGAAATTGTAGTTGTGTGTCTCTTGGGGGAATTCTGCAGGTGTATGATCTTTGGGGAATGTTTGGTTCCTGGGAGGCTCCAATTCTCGACAGTTTGGATAGGCTCAGGATATGTCAAAGAAAGTTTATAAACTACTTTTAATACCTTACATCTGGGAATCTAGGTAGCGGAAGAGGACAGAGGAACATTTAGCTTTGCCTTTCCTCTCATATGACTATTCTTATTCTTTTTGGCTAATTTTATTATTTTTCTTTTTTTATCATGTGACTATTCTAATGTGATTTAAAATCTATTAGTATAATTTTAGAATAATATATGTAATACATTAATCTAAAATGTGTTATTCTAATTCTAATGTAAAATCAGGTTCTTTTGGAATTCCTTTTAATTCTATTTAAAAGAAAAAAAAACAGAGTACCCAGATACAGTACTTAGAAACAGTTGATAATAGCAACTGTTTGAATGAACTAATAAATGAAATGAGTGCGCTAATAAACAAATGCAATTAAATGGATAAAGGTTTTTCCCAGGCTTATGAAATTGACTAACATGAAAAGCTAATAAATATTTAAAAAATAAACAGCACAGTATCCTCCAAAGAAAACTTGGATTGTATCTTCTCCTTGCTGTTTCTATGTGTAACATAAATACTCCAGGCCCAGAGATACACTGCTTTGTCTTGCATCTATTCTTGATGTTCCTCCTGTCTTGTCAGTAGTTGTCAGCAGCTGTCTGTCTTCTTCGGTTGCAGCCTCACTGTGTTGTCATCTCTTGGCAATGAAAAATAAGCCTATATTTTATAGCATTAAAAAAAATCTACAGCAGCAACAAAAACAGTATTGTTATATAGCTTCAGAACATTCATTGCTTTCACTAACAGATTAAAGAAAGGAATCCAGGCCTATCTTAGTCTACACCTTGTGTAGGCTATCCTCTATTGGCTCACTCATTCCAAGCCCCAAATATGCAGGATGTCAAAGACATTTATGTTCAGAATTGCTACTTCTCAGCAGCAGAGTATAATCAAGATTAGAGGCGAAATCACTCGCCAACTGACTAGCCAGATGCTGCCATCTGGCCGTCACTCCTGGAACTGACATGAATTGTGAATCTGCTGGACTCTTGCAGTGAAGCAGGGTTGATTCACTAAAGCACAGAAAAATCATCCCTGATTCAACAGGAAGTGAGCAACCCAAATTAGCAAGGGCAATGTTTTGAGAGTCAAGCAGCCCAACTCTACATGTGCAGTCCAAGGACTGGACCCAGCTGAACTCCTAGTTTGATGTATATGGGTACTATTGTCTTTTGATTTTAAATTCTGCTTCATAATGGTGGATTGCATTGTGTGAATGACTGAAATGGCTTCCAAGGGACCTGTACTTTACTTTGTTCTACTGAAAGCCTATCTTTTGATTACTGATAATGAAAGCAGTATCAAACATGGCTATTGTTCTTTTAAATATCACCTCCTATATCCACAGCCACCTTTTACCTTTGCACAGAGAGATATAAAGCTCTATGTCATATTCGTGTGCCTATGGCTGTAGATGTGAGATATGGTGTTAGGAAGAGAAAGAAATAAAGAGGTTGTGGGAGGAAGGGCAGATGTTTGACTGATTTCCTCTTTGCCTCAAGAACAATGCATGCAACTTCTGAAGGTATACTTAGTACTTGGATTATAGCTTCAGCAGATCAATATACTTTGGGTTATTTTTCCATTGGCACCTCCAGTTTATATGGTTTTATCTACTTTCTCTTATCCTGATTCTTTGTGACCAAGAATATGGTTTAGCAAGATAACTGGCTACAGAGAAAACCTTACCTATTCATGCAAGAGCAAACCCAGGACGTCAACTTTTCTACATTAACCAAGTAAACAAGACATAGAAAAATATTTGAGGACAGCGGCCAATGTAGACACCAAGGGGTGCATGGCAAAGCTCTAGCTACAAGAGAAAATGGAATCATCTCCACATCATCACAACACATAGTTTTGGATCAGGATTTTCCCCAAACGCTTTCTCCACTGCATCACCCTGACTCATAATAAGAACATCTTTTGACATTGTGGTCTAAAACACTGAGGCTGTGACCATGAGAAAATTGCTTAACCTCTCTCAGCACATTTCCTCATAAGTAAAATGACATATAATACCTACCTCTTAGGGATGTTATGAAGAACAAATGGGAAAGTCAATGTAAAGTGCCTATAAAAAGGCCTAGCACATGGTAAATGCTCAGCAAATGTTGGCAATTACTGTATTAATTAATTACTATTTCCATTTTTCTTGATTCCCTCTGCTTCTGTCAATCTGGATAAAATAATGAATGGTTACACTGAGTTGCATATATTATTGACCCCTTTTTATTTCATAGAGCTAACTGTATTCCCAATAAATTGGAAGTCTGTTTTTAAACTATAAAATATCTCAGCTACTAGATCCCTAGAGAATTTTTTCCTCTCCAAATTGCATAGAATTTTCTTCCTTGCATGTCACTATCCTTCAAAGGACTTGGCATTTTGGAGTTCTCCTTTTCTTTCCTTGCAAAGCCAACAATCACAGCTGACCAGCACTTCAATTCTTCAAATGATTTACTTACAATAAAATGACCTGCCTGTGACTTGATATTTTATTTTAAACAGCTTGTGGTTGTGATAGAACAAGAGGCCCAGACCAAAAGGGACTAGGAATGCTTACCCAGCTGCCAGGACCGTCAGCAGGTCAGGAAACAACCCCATCCCACTGCCATCTGATTTCCTATGAAGCAGCCATTTCCCTTAACACCAGAGCAGACTATGCAGTGACAGTGCTCCAGGCAGATGTTTGGAGATGTGAGTTTTCACAGCTTATGGTGTGATCAGTATAATAATGGTCCATGCCTTTGACTTGCTCTGTGAAGGCCTTGAGTGGGGTCAATGATCTTGAGTAACTTTGTCTCACCTCAAGGAGCTAGTACTGGTTGGATAATTAGAGAAAAGGGCCCACATAGTTTGCCAAAAACTGTGACTTTTGCTACCCCAGGCTGAGTGAGAGCCCCGCATGGGGCAGCTCTAAAAAAAATAAAAATAAAAATTTAAAAACTGTGACTTTCTCATTTTCTGAGGGGCTTCTGAGATTTTGTAATATGGCAAATTTTCTAGTAAGAGAGGTTTGGAATAATTTTTTCTGTTTTCTTAGGAAATGACAGTGTTTTCCATTTTGAAACAGACTAACCCAAAGAGGAGAGATCCCTGTGCTGAGCACACACCAGCAACCTACTTCTCAAACCCATTCCTAAATGTAAATACCTGCAGTGAGGCTGGGCTCTCCGAGGTGGTACCTGGACCGTGCTCTATAACCTGAGTACTGGGGAGCCAGGGCTTTTGGCCCATTGCAGGGCAATATTGGGAGCAGGAGAGGCCACCACAGGGAATAATGAGATCACAATAATTATGTGTTCACAAGGCAGTGAAACTGGTGATTTATAACTAATTTATTGGCAACCACTTTCTAAATAAAATATCCAGGCACTTATTGTCACAAATTAGGTAACAGGCAGCTAACCACGATTGAACAGTGTATTTTACAACAAGAGTATTAAGTTATGTTTACTTAAAAATAAATCTTGAAGGAGAATAAGGGGTAAACTTGGAATCGTTTTTTTGAGATGAAGTCTCCCTCTGTCACCAGGCTGGAGTGCAATGGTGTGATCTTGGTTCACTGCAACCTCTGCCTCCCAGGTTCAAGTGATTCTCCTGCCTCAGCCTCCTGAGTAGTTGAGACTACAGGCACACGCCATCACATCCAGCTAAATTTTGTATTTTTAGTAGAGATGGGGTTTCATTATGTTGGCCATGATAGTCTCCATCTCTTTTTTTTTTTTTTTTTGATACAAAGTCTTGCTCTTGTCCCCCAGGCTGAAGTGCAATGGCGTGATCTTGGCTCATTGAATCCTCTACCTCCTGGATTCAAGCAATTCTCCTGCCTCAGCCTCCTGAGTAGCTAGGATTACAGGTGCTTGCCATCACACCGGCTAATTTTTGTATTTTTAGTAGAGACAGGGTTTCACCATGTTAGCCAGGCTGGTCTCGAACTCCTGACCTCAGGCAATCTGCCCAACTCAGCCACCCAAAGTGCTGGGATTACAGGTGTGAGCCACTGTGCCCAGCTGGAATCTTTTCATAACTTCCCCAAAACATCACACTTGCCTGACATTAGTCGACAAAGTAAAATATTACAGAGAAAATAATGTAATTGGTTTTTGAAATTTATATAAAATAACCATGACAAGAGAATATCCCTGAAGCATTCCATTCAAACATCGAAATTATCTCTTGCTACCCTGAATGAATTTTGGTATTCATGCTGGATTACTTGTGTGTGTGTATGTGTGTGTGTGTGTATGTGTGTGTGTGTGTGTGTGTGAGAGAGAGAGAGAGAGAGAGAGTAAGTGTAATAATCTGTTGCTATATAGATACTTGGTCCTTAGAAACTCCTCCCCAAGGTCTCATATTTGTAGAAGTAATATTAATTTACTATTTGACAGAAAAAAAACAATTTGCCTCTTGAAAGTTCTGCTTAGTGGCTATGAGCCCTGGATTTTTTTCATCTCTCTCTGTAGATCAACTTACCATTCTTTTCCTCACAGAGAGGAAAAGTCTACCTCCCTAATGACTTGTAAAAAACTGACTAATAAGGAAAAAGGTGGCCAGGCATGGTGGCTCAAGCTTGTAATCCCAGCACTTTGATAAGTCAAGGTGGGTGGATCACCTCAGGTCAGGAGTTCAAGACCAGTGAAACCTTGTCTCTAGTAAAAATACAAAAATTAACCAGGTATGGCAGTGCATACCTGTAATCCCAGCCACTCAGGAGGCTGAGGCAGGAGAATCACTTGAACCCAGGAGGTGGAGGTTGCGGTGAGCTGAGATTGTGCCCTTGCACTCCAGCCTGGCGACAGAGTGAGACTCCATCTCAAAAAAAAAAAAAAAAAAAAAAAAAAAAAACAAACTCAAAAAAAAAAAAAAAAAAAAAAGAAAAGAAAAAGGCATTTCTATTCTATGCAGTCCTCACAGGGAGCAACCAAGAAGAGAAAATGTGGGAAAGATCAATATGCCCAGAATCAGTGAGAAGACTCTGATTCTTATTGATTTCAGAGACATTTTTATTTATTAAACATGTTGTCAAACAGAAAACAAAAGGTCAAGGTGGCTCTTTCTTTGGGCCCTTGGCAGCGAATGTTGCCACCCCTGTTATGGGGTGCAGAGGAGAAATGTAAGGCAAGGACAGTAGAGCCAGTACTGGACCAGTGGCCCACTGGTTACGGACGGAAAATGGACTCATCTAAGTGGACAGGTAAGCCATTTTCACAGGCAATAACAATGTTTCTGAACCCCGCTGTGGCTCGGTACCGGCATGGAGGCCGGGGGGACTCTCCTATATGCTTGCAAATGGTGACCTGGAAAGCAGACCTGCTTCTTCTTTGGTTTCCGTTGTAAGGCTCTCCATTCTGATTTCCACAGATGGCCTTGATGCTGGCCTTGTTGCCATGAATAAAGGTGTTGATTCCTTTGCAGGGTGATATCATGTCCCTTAACCTCATCATTTTTTCACAGTATTTGTCATTCCCGTTCTTTGTTTTGGGATCATAGTGCTGGTTCAGGAACTTGATGTACCTGATGTCATTTTGAGCCAGAGTCGGTGGGGTCAGACCCAGACCCAGAATGAAGACAAACAACAAAATGTGCAGGCCCATCACCATCTCTTCCAACACAGGCTCCTGCCAAGGGCAAAAGGAGATGTGGTAGGGGCAAGAACAGCATTGCCAAATTAGGCTAAAGGGACAGGAGCTTTGCTCTCTGACATGGCATGATGAATCAGATCTTTTCTGCCACCAAATGATATCTTTTCTTTTCCCTTCCTCATTAACCTCACACCTCTTATCAATCCATTCCTCTGGAAATTTAAGAGAGTCCTGAGCACAACCTCTAGCTCCGACCATTCTTTCCTATCCCTTAGAATCACTGAGTATTTCTCTATCAGTCATGACATTACAAAATCCACTGTCTTTAATTCATTTATTAATTAATTGAATAACAAACCTTACATAAGTCTCTACTGGTACCAGGGACTGTACTAGGTCCTGAGACACAATGACCATTAAAACATACCAAATGCCTCCTTAATAGGAAATGAGGCATCCATAGGGAAAGGATGGGGGCTTCAATGTACTGAGATGAGATAGTAACACAGGAGATAAGAGCTAAGAAGAGAGAATTTTAAGGGAGTGGTCCCCAACATTTTTGGCACCAGGGACCATTTTCATGGAAGATAGTATTTCCATGGAAGGGTGGGAGATGGTTTCAGGATGAAATTGTTCTAGCTCACATGATCAGGCATTAGATTCTCTTAAAGAATGCACAATCTAGATCCCTCACATGTGCAGTTCACAATAGGCTTCCAGCTCCTATGAGAATCTAATGCTGCCTGTTGATCTGACAGGAGGCAGAGCTCAGGTGGACAGGCCACAGATAGGAATTTGGGGACCCCTGTTTTAGGGAACCCTGAGCCCAGGGAAGGGTCAACCACAGAATTGTTTACAACAGGATTCTCGTTAATTAGTCAGCTAATGTAAAGAAAGCAGTTGAAAGCAGTTTTATCCTGAGTTGAAAGGAAGCAGATCCACTTCCCCAAGAAGTAGGTGGTTCATGGCCAAAGGTAAATTTCTTATGTACTATTTAAAAAGAAGAGGGAGGAGCATAGAAGAAGGCACACAATGTTTGGAAGATGGGTCTGGATCAACTCTTTTTTTTTTTTTTTTTTTTTTTTGAGACGGGTCTTGCTCTGTCACCCAGGCTGTAGTGCAGTGGTGCTATCTCGGCTCACTGCAACCTCCACCTCCCAGGTTCAAGCAATTCTCCTGCCTCAGCCTCCCAAGTAGCTGGGATTACAGGCACACACCACCATGCCTGGCTAATTTTTTATTTTTTTTAAGTAGAGGCAGAGTTTCACCATGTTGGCCAGGCTGGTCTTGAACTCCTGACCTTGTGATCTGCTTGCCTTGGCCTCCCAAAGTGCTGGGATTACAGGTGTCGGCCACTGTGCCCAGTCTGAAATCAACTCTTACAGAGAAGAAAGAGGAATTCATGCTTATTCTTAGGAGCTTCTCACATTGGAAGCAATTGAGATTATTCTAGAGAATATTTTCTAGTTTCTCCTACATTTGTACATACGCTGTTACACAACAGGAAAATGGTGCCACCATGTGATAAAAAAAAAAATGCCTTAGACTTTTTCATCAACTAAAAGGCCTTACAATTTGCTCTAATGATTTCTTAACATCTTTTCAAAAGAAGAATGAGAAAAAGAGGATTCCTGTCATCACCTTTCAAGAGCTGTCAGTCTCAAACTGTAGAACGCACACATCCTAGGAATGGTGCATCAAACACACCTTTAGATAAATACAGTGCTTCTTCATGGAGCATAATTTTATTTCAATGACTGATCATTGAAAATAGAACTAAACAAATATGAATTATAACAAAACAGAAAGCAAATTTCTTATGAACTTTAAATATTCTATTGCTTACGAAATTTCAAGATTAGAGAATTCAAAGGTAGTTGGTATTTGTGACAAGTAGTTTCTGACTATATATATAGCTTTTTTTTTTTTTCAACTACATCTGCATTTTTTTTCAACTCCATCTGCATATATTTTTAATTCTTTGGACAATTTTTTTTTTTGAGATAAAGTCTCTGTAGCCCAGGCTGGAGAACAGTGATGTGACCTAGGCTCACTGCAACCTCTGCCTCCTGGGTTCAAGTGATTCTCCTGCCTCAGCCTCCTGAGTAGCTGGGATTACAGGTATGCACCACCACACCTGGCTAATTTTTGTATTTTGGATAGAGATGGGGTTTCACCATGTTGGTCATACTGGTTTCGAACTCCTGACCTCATGATCTACTGGCCTCGGCCTCCCATGCTGGGATTACAGGCATGAGCTGCTGTACCTGGCTGTACAAAATTTTAAAGACCATTCAGAGTCTTTAAAAGCCATTACAGATCTAATCCACATTATATCTAATATATGTGAATGTCCCTATACATTTGACAATAAAAATAACTTTTCACTGCAAAATTTTACCTGATTTTTACAATTTTGCTTTTTAAATTGTTTATGAGTAACTCATTGAATTTGTGATTGGCTATGATTTCTTGGTAGTCATCACACATACTGAGAATTTCTCACAAAGGGAGGAAATTACATTTAATTGCATAATTACATTAAATTACATTTAAGAATGTAATACAATTCTTATGACCCCTAATGTAAAAATAAATGGTACATTTCACAGACATTAAATTAATTGTTAACTTTTTATTTTGTGCTTCTCTTGTGTGTAAGTCAATGAACATCTTCATATCAAATAGTTCTGTAGCCCTAGCAGGAAGTGCCAAGTTATACAAGTTGTGAAAATATTGCTGTTCACAGAAGGGAACCTGAGTTTAAAAAGTCCTAGCACTAGGCCTGTGGTGTGGCTAGCTTCTTCTGAGAGCATGACCATGGATCTAGAAAGACCCGGGACTCCAGTCTTCTGTGGTTACATGGGAAGGCATGTGACTGGGTGAGCAAAGTGGGCTCTCTTTCTAATTTGCATTTAGTATTGATTTCATTACAAATGATAATCTATAAACTTAATGGAAACATTTCTAGCTGCTATTTACTTCAGTATTGTAGAATGAAAAAATTCCTTAGCATATAATTTGCTATTCTTCAGCAATGTATCAAATTTGCCTGCACTGACATTTGTCTATACTTGAGAGAGTTGCTACCTCTAGAAGTCTGAAATTCCATGGTGAAAGTGTGTTCTTGGGAGTTTATCAAGAAAGTGGTACATGATTGCAGAATGGAGAGCCAGCCCTAAAGGTGTAACAAGTATTCATTCATGCAGTTGCTCCAAATACAGTTACTGGGCTGCCATGCCACCCATTTGCCACGTTCTTCACATTTACATCATGCTTTTCAGTCTCCTGCGTGTGTTTCCTGTTTCTAGTTTTTTGGAAGATCATATCAAAGTTTTATTAATTGGTAATCAACTAAGCCTTTTGCTCTGTAATAAACAAATACTGACTTCTAATGTTAAAGGTCTCCCTTACATACTCAACATCCTTCTGTCTGGTGCCAGAATCCCAGAATTCAAAAATCAGGAAGCAGAACCAGGGCTGCCAGTACCTAAAAGAGTCATTAGGTGGCAGTGGTGGATAGGAATGTTACTAATGTCTTCTCTAGGGCAGATGGTACTTGCAGGAGGTGCCAATGCTGTACAAGTTGTGGGGATACTGCTGTTCACAGAAAGGAGTATGAGCTGGTGAACCTGTTTAGAATCTCCATCCAAACTCTCTGCGCTAGATATTAAGACCAAGAACACCTTACCAGATATAAGGGCTAAAGCAAAAGTCACAAAGTTCAGGATCTACCTAAGGATATCACAAAATAAAGACCAACCTGTTGTCAGGTTTCACGGTGCCATTTCCAAACATGCCACTACCCATGTGACGCTGGGCAAACAACAGATTATTCACTTGTTAGTGTTTCTTACTGGTGTATATTCTACAGAACTCATATTATTCACCTTGAGTCAACATGCTTGCTTCATAATAAATCCTCAATAATATTTTTTAAATAATTGACTTCATTTTTCTCTCCAGGCCTAGGTTTGTTCATCAAGAAAATAAGAGAGTTGCTAGCTTTAAAAATCTGAAGTTTCATGGTTCTCATTAATAATAATTGAGGCCTTGCTAGTTTCAATAGCAAAGGTCCCATGACTCTCAGTTACAGAGACAAATTTTGTATAAGTTTAGTTGGGGGCGCAAGGCATCAACTGGAACAAGTAGAAGACAGGGTGACCTGTAGCCCAATCTCACTAAGATGCATCATTCCATAAGGCTCAATGTGTAAGCCAAGCTTACATAGCACTTCTAAATAAGGCACTGGACATCACAGGGGCTTTGGCTCCTAAAAAACCGCTTGCTTTTTGAGTATGAAATCTCTCACGTTCCAGTCTGCAGAGGTAAAAGAGTATCTTTACTTCTGATTTGCAGAATATGCACATTCATTTTGCAAGAAGTCAACTAAGTTTTGCTCGGGCTTACTGTAATCTTGATTTCCTAAGACATCCGGGAACAAAATCCCAGCAAGCGGACACCAAAACCACCAATATCTAACATCTGCTCCCTCACTCAAAACTTTCTCAATATATTCAATTCTAAATTTTTCAAAAGCAAGGTAAAATGGAATTGGGAGAAAACCAGTAAGAGACAGATTATTTGTGGTGTAAACGTGAACCTGCCTAAGCCAACGGTACAGAGTCCTCTAGACATATCCTTCTAGGCATATCCTTCTAGATACATCCATCTATACCCAAACATGTAACTGTCTGTCAGCTCAGCTTTTTGTCAGTGGAATTAGTCCCAGCTAGTTTTTGTTTTGTTGTGTTTTTGAGAGACAGAGTTTTCTTGTTCTGTTGCCCAGGCTGGAGTGCAGTGGTGCAATCTCGGCTCACGATAAAACTCTGCCTCCCAGGTTAAGGCAATTCTCCTGCTTCAGCCTCCCAAGTAGCTGGGATTATAGGTTCCCGCCACCACACTCTGCTAATTTTTGTATTTTTGGTAGAGATGGAGTTTTGCCATGTTGGCCAGGCTGGTCTTGAACTCCTGACCTCAGGTCATCTGCCTGCCTCAGCCTCCCAAAGTGGAAACACATCCTAAGGTCAAAAGAA